GTGCGAGCAGTTTGCCTGGATTGCCCCTCTTTCTCCTTGCTGCTTCACGTTCATCATCCTCTGGAAGATCTGGAATGAATTTGTACCTTTCTAGTCCTCTGGTGCCTTCCTAGTTCTTACTGATGGTTTATAAACCATTGAGTCGGTTTGAGTTGTCTCATCCGGTGTTATATTGATTACTTTAATCTCTTTCAAATGTTTCATTGCCGTATGATCTGGGAAGACAGTGTTGGGCCAGCATCTGAGAGGCCTTGACTGCAGTTTTAGCTCTGTGGCTGGTCAGCTTGGTGACTTTACAGGCCAGTCACATCATCCCGCTGTGCCTCAGGCTTCCCCACCTTTCAAAGGAGTATAGCGAACAGTCTGCTGCCTTCTGTTTCATGCTGTGAAAAAGTGTTTAAGCAAAACAAAAGAAGTGGAAAAGGCCTAGATACCTGGTACCGTTCTCCCCCTATAACAGGAGTCTTCAGGCTTCGGGAACTTCTTGCATCAAATGTCCAAATCTCATTGCCTGATCTAGAAGAGCAGAGTAGTTAGTAGATCAGATTAGCATCTATTCCAACATGAGCTCTGCTCACGTTTCTAGCAGTGGGTTATTGCTTCTCTTTTCCTCAGTATTTTGGAATTTTTGTAACCCTTTATCCCCCTCCCAAAAAAGTGCTGTTTATACTCCTAGCTCCCTTTAGACTAAGTCAGTTTGATTGATTGTTCATCCTGCCAAAGAAAAATACGTGGAAACTTTAATTGGCCTGGACCTTTCCAATGCTATAAAATGTACATTTTTGAAGATGGAGAACTAAAATAGCTTTATGCTGAACCACATCGTGGCCTTTGTCCAGCTACTGCATAAGTATATACAGAACTTCAGTCTGTTCTCCCTAGTAACGAGTGACAGGACGAGAGGAAACGGCCTCAAGCTGCGCCAGGGAAAGTTTAGGTTAGGTATTAGGAAAAACTTCTTCGCCGAAAGGGTGGTCAAGCATTGGAACAGGCTGCCCAGGGAAGTGGTTGAGTCTCCATCCCTGGAGGTATTTAAAGAACGGATAGATGTGGGGCTCGAGGACATGGTATAGTGATGGACTTGGCAGTGACAGGTTAACGGTTGGACTCGATGATCTTAAGGGTCTTTTCCAACCTTAACGATTCTATGATTCTATGATTCATCTAAGCATGTAGTATCTATGTAAAAGGATTGTTAACATGTGATTAGGACAAAACCACGTTTACTAATCTGTCTAATGGCAGTTGTAGCTTTTTGTGCCTTCCAGGTGTTTCAGGTAGAGTTAGGTGAGATGGCTTGAGCCAGTCTAGTGGCCTGCCAGCAGCTGGCTAGGCTTAGCTTGCCCCAGCCTTAGGTTTGCCAGCCTGCTAAGAGCTGATTTAATTTCCTAACCCGGTAAAAAATGAACACAGAGTTGTTTTCTTTTGGGTTAGCGAGGTGCGTTGGCTCAGTGAAGGGTCTGAGGAGGGTGAGAGTTGGTGCACGGCATCAGGCAGGGAAGGAGCAGGAGGGTCCAAAGCTCCTCCGCCGTCTCGGGTAACTCCTCCCCTCGCGCAGGTTGGGATGCAGGTTAGCTCTCTGCAGCAGTCTCTCTCCATCTTTGCAGATGCTACAGCACTACCGAGAAGGGCACTGACACCCAGCAAATCTGCAGCAGAAACAATAGATGTGATTTTGTCCCTGGGTTTCACCAGCTGTTGCAAAGAGCAGGCAGTAACTCTTAATTTTCAGAGTTCAGATGTGTTCTTTTTATTTGCCACTGTTTGCTCCTGTACCAGTTGTCTACCTCTACTTACGCAGCTCTAAGCAGAGTACGTGTTGGAGTCTGGTGGCCACTGCTTTTTCTGCTCCATTAATACCCTCCCCAATTTATCAACATCTTCTTTCTACTGGAGTGTCTTTAAAATTCTCTATCTTCCGTCCAACTTGATCCTTCTCCTCATCGTGACGGACATTAGGTATCCTAATCCCCCCAGGTTTGCTTAATATTTGCTTAATGCTCTTCTGTTGCATTCTGTGACCTTAATTCTTGGTTTTCTAGATCAAAGTGATTTAGAGAAAGGTATACAGCTTGACTAATGTGCTGTATTGTTTTAGAAAGGGTAATTGTAATAATTTTTAAGGCCTCTTTTACATAAAGGCATAATAAAGATACTATGCCAATGTTATGACAACACTATAGTGAGTGAGACTAGTGTCATACAGGAAAAAAAAAAACAACAACTTAAATAATGTCCAATGCAGCATGCTGATGTTTAGACATATATACAGATTAAAAAAGGAAAGGTCTGCTTTTAATTTCGTAAGTAGCAGATGCATGTGATCAGGGTGGCCGATACTTCTTAGAGCTTTGCTTCCAAAGGGAAGCGTGCGTGTGTGACTGAATGGTTCAATATGTATATATTACAAGAGTTTCTATATTGCTAACTGTTAATAATAATAATAAACCTCTCAGCTGTATATATGCAGTGGTTTGGCTTGTACCTTTCCTCCATGATTTTTTTGGCTCCTGGATTGGGGCCTTTTTTCCTTGTTTCACTAAGTTTATTGGCCTGTCTGAATGTGTGTGTGGGCCACTAGATCATCTAGTCAGAAGAGTATTTATAGAAAGGTTCAAGCTCTGTAATATTTCCTTGCGTTGATTATTTAATGTTATCGCTTGAACTGACTGTATTGATTCCTATGTTTAGGATTTAATGGAAAGAACAGATTTCTTCTTCATCCACTTTAAATGGCTATACCTAGTCAAAAACTACCGTAGTAACACAGCAAGCGCAGAGGTTCTTCCTGCCGTGTTGGTGCTGTCTGTGGTATATGGTGACTTCAGAAGAGCTCTTAAAACAGCTTTTGAATTAATAAGGACATGGCCCAGTATCTTTGTGGGCAGTGCCACTTCCAGACAGGGTGCATGTGTTACCTTTTTAAACATCCCTGTATACTTCACATGCATGAAAACAAGATTTATTTATAAGTAGGTCTCCTGGAGTCTTACTATATAGGGCTTGGTATCTTTTCTTCTGGAATTCCTGCCTCCAACTGCAGCTTTCTGGTTGGCACTTCTTGCCTCATAAAAAAGTTTCAATGTAATTCAATTAAATTGATTTTATTCTTTTAACTTATTCTTTTTACATTTTAGCTTACAGTGCCAATTGAGGAAAAATCTCCCTCTCAGTAGTATTTGCATGCGCTTGGGTAGGTTTCGCTAGTATCTCTAGCCCTGTTGGGTAGGACAGTACTGGTTCATTGCAAAAGTTTGCCTGTGTTTTTTGTTCTCCTTCACTTGTGCCTGTTGAGCTGATATGTAGAAGTCTGCGATCCCTAATTTTTCATTCCCTTACTTCTCAGCTAACACTTTTTTTTTTTTTTTTTTAATCGAAGTGCTTTTTAAAAATTTTTTACTCCAAGCCACTTGCTGTATGAAAAATCTGTGAGAACAAATCAGGACATGGAAGAGTGATGTGTAGTAAATAGTATATCCTGCCAAAGACAGGACTGGTTTTATTCTGTCCTTATGGAGGGAACTGGTATCTTATTACATGGCACTGTTCTTTATAGTATACTGTAGAACTGGTGATGCATTCACTAATATACAGGCTGTCTTGTGCTTCCTATTTTTCCCATAGGCTTCTCAGTATTTGTAACCTCAGAGTAAAAGCCAGACAATGATTGGCCGTACTCTTTTTATGCCTCTGTTCAGCTGGAAAGTTACATTTCCATTCTTTCTGTGTGCTACATGTTTTTTTAATGGTCATTGATCAGCATATAAAAGTCATGCAGAATGGAAATGCAATTACCAAGAAAGATAAATAGACAGTAGCAGCTGGTTTCATCAGAAACCCAGCTAGACTGTCAAAAGGCGGGGGGGGGGGAAGTGAAATAAAATTCTAGTATGATGTGTAACATTTGACAAGTAAAACTAATGGTCCTTGAATTAAACAAGAAGGTTCAAAGTTGTGCCAGTTAATGAAAAATCACACTGAATCACTGTTGTAGCTCTGCTCCCTTTTTAGGATAGGATAATTATTTAGCAGAAATGTACTGTGTAATGTGGTGCGAAAGCTGCACGGAAACAAAATTAGCAGGCTGATTCCTGAGGTTACTTTCCATGGATGCGAAGCAGACATCCCCATTCAGCGAGCAGCGCAGGCGAGCTGGTGCAGGTGTAGCCTTCCCCTAGCACAGCAAGGAACGTGCGGTCCCTGCTGTTCCCCTCTTGCTTACAGGGCTCCGTGGAACATCAGATTTCCCTTGCGTTTCCCAACCAGCGTTTTTGCTCTGGCTTCTTCTGGACTTCCCAGTGGCACACCCTCATAGTTCTTGGCCCATCAGTGGGATCAGGCTGGGCTCCAGGTTCTAGAGCAGCTCTGGTCCCCAAAGGAAGCAAAATATTTAGACCATGTAATTGGGGTCATCTTGTACCCCTTTGGCTTTCCTGGTTTGCAGACCCTTAAGCAAGGTGGCAGCTGCAAAGGGCCAGAGAAGGCTGGAAGGACCAAAGGAAAAAATGCTGACATGCCCAGGAGGGAATGATGGTCAGCAAGTGGCGAGTTGTCCCACCTGCTGTCCTCACCTTCCTCCCTTCTCTGGGAGCCCTGGCTGTGGCTGCTAACAGCCTGATTCATAAATACATAAAAATTAGCACAATTCATTGAAGTCTGGGTTCTGTCATGCTCTGTTTCCAATGTCGCCTTTCCTTTTCCAGGAGAAAAGAAATACTTTCCCATTGTGCAGTACTGTAGCCAGTCTATCAGCCTTACCCCCAGGAGGTGATTAGCCTGTGTATTTTGAAAAGTATAAAGTTCGCCTGGTATTCTTGTTTTCATATGATACATTAAAAAGAAAATCATAATGGTTATTATTTTGTGTTAATGATCAGGTGGTTTATTAGCTGCAAGTACGTGTACCATAACGCTTATGTGCAACAACTCTTATAAATAAGTGATTTGGTCTTCTTTGCCCTTATTCTTTTAACAGATACAAGAAACGTGTTTCTCTAAACATGGGTGAAACAGAGCAGAGACCAACAGCAGGATCCCGGTTAGGAGCTCAGGAAAATGCTGGGATCAGTACCTTGGAGCACGGACAGAAACCACCTATGATGCCTCCTGGAAAACTCATCTCCATCAAAATTCAGATGCTGGATGACACGCAAGAAACTTTCGATGTTCCGGTAAGGATGTGGAGGCTGGGGTGGCTAAAGATTATTCAGGCATTTCTAAAAAATGCATGTTTTCAAACCAGTTCTCTTTCTATTTTGACTCTGATTCTTTGGCTAATGAATTCATGTTGCAGAGAAAATGGCTGTTATATCAGCATTAAATAGATGATGGTGTAATAGAATAACATTAAACAGTGAAGTGAACTGTAAATTACAGCTAAGCTGTTCAAATAGAAACAGCATAAAAGAGGTGAAAGTCCTTGGTGTGTTTTTTTTTTTCTTCAAATATTACATCAGTGATTTCATCTACTTTCTGAACAGTTTATATATTTCCTTGATGCTGTTTTGCTCTTGATCCAGTAAACTGTAGATCTGTACAGATTTGTTTCCTTTTTCTCTGGCAAATCCTTAGGATGGTAACTTGAAATCATCAAAGTTTTCACTAATTTATGTCACTCTTACTGACACCAAGTGCTCACGTGCATTGAGCGCAAGGAGAGAATCACAGCAGTCTCATCTAAAGTTTCTCCACACAGTCAGCGCACATTGAAATTAATCTAGGTTTGTACTTGCGAAGTAAGGAAACAGTTACTACTGCTCTTGTGTGTGATCAGAAGAATTAGTTTGAATTAGTTTTGGTACAAAGACCGATTCTGTTTTACACTATCTAGCTGTTAGTAACCACTAATGATTTTAACACGCCATGCTTAGGTAATTAACATGTAAGTTTATTGAACACTGTTGCTGTTATGAAAGTGTACTGGAATGTATATTTTTCAAAGTGCTCAGGGTTCAGTGAGTAGGAAACTGGAAACCCGAGTTCAAATTTCATTCTTTGTGGCTTGCATTTTGTGTAGCTATGGTAACTTCCATGCCTTCGTTGTCTCAGTTTTCCCTTCTGTGAAATGGAGGGTTACCAGTGAGATACATAATTCTTACACGTATAGTGCTCTGTGAAAGTGCTCACGGTCACTGAAAAAATGTTATACCTGTATGAAAGGTGAAGGAATCTGGATAAGGAAAATCCTTGTGGGGAAAAAAAACCCCACAAACCTGTTTAGAAGGTTTTGTTTGCTTTGTGTGTATACATGCACATGCTTTTTGGTCTGCTCTCTGCTGCTGTTTGTGACCCAACTACAGCTGCGTGTTCAGTCTCAGATTATCTTGTAGTAGAAAGTAAATTCTCTGGACAGACATTTGTGAACTGAACTGTCGTCAAGTGAAATGCTCACGTATGTAGCAACGTGTTATCGTTTTTGTGCCCTTCAGAATGCTTATCAAATATCCATAGGAAACAGACTACAGTTAGCAGTCTTCAGGTAATCATCGCTGTTCAAAAGTGTAGTTCTAGTTTAAATTATCAAATGCTAATGAAACTGGTGCTGCTTATCTTATGTGGTGCAAATATCCCTATTATCCCAGAGATGACTTCTTTTTTTTTCCTGCAGCTGCTCTTTCACCATACTTTTACAAATTGCATGTCATTCCCAAAGTTAACAATCCTATTTAACAAACACTTAGTATGAACTATTTTGAGATCAGGTTCCTTTCATTAAATTGTTTAGAAGCAAACTAAGTAATGAGTGAATGCAACACACCTGTATAACTCCAGCTTTGCTTCTGGGAGTTTGAGAAAACAGTATGGTTTTGATCTTCAGTATTAGAAGATGTCCACGTTACTTTTTGTTTCTAAACTTCAGGAAGACCTGGGTTGAAAAAAACTCCTCTGTTCAGATCACTTCACTAGGATTGTTTTCTGAGGCTTTTATTTCATAAATACATCAATTCAAGGAGAGTCCAGTTGGTTTTAAGGTCAAATCTTGTGGTGAAATTTGCAGGATGCTTAAAGTCTCTTAGACCAGATTCCTAAAGCCTTTTGTCTTCAAGGTATGCATAGTCAAATGGAGCAATACACATCGTTTTCAGCCTGCTCTAAAAGGCATTAATTTTTTAGTCCCATTTCACAAAACTGAAAAACTTCTAATATATCTAAATTGAGATGTTTATTCGTGTTGGAAAACCCATGTTCCCATTTACAAGCTTGCTGTTTTTAGCCAGATTGGTACAGTATACACAGAAAAAGAAAGTGACACTGTTTCAACAAAATATTTTAGGAACAGCAAGTGTGGCTATGGGCAAAGGATGTTAAACGTACATGCCAAAGCACATCTGTGGGCTTGCTTTTCAGTAGAGAATTAAAGGCTTTTTTGCATGATGGAAGGTCTGCACTATTTCAAAACTTGAGCTGCCATGGTTATGAAAATAACCTTCCAAATATGATAAAAGTATAAACTGAGAAGGTTTTGTGTTTCCTACAGTTTCAGGAATTTTGCTGAACCTTTTTTTTCCTCTATTAGCAAATGGGCCAAACTTTGAGTAGTTTTATTGCTGCTTGTAATGTGTTTTTTAGGATGGTATGAAGTTTAAGTCATGCTAGTTTATTATTTGTTCGTGAATTCTGTGTAGAAATAGAAACAGATACTGGTGCTACTTCTTCCTGAATTTGGGGGAAGTAGTGAAGTAGTTGGGACTGTCCATCTGTCTTGTCCTCCTCCCTTGCTACTCCTACAGTTTCTTGTGTTATAGGTTCAGCCTCCTTGTGAGCTAAAACTGGAAAAAGATCTTATCTGAGTGCTGTTTTTCTTGGGTTTGCTTTTCGTTTGGTTTGGGGGTTTTTTGGTGGTTTTTTTTTTGTTTGTTGGGTTTTTTGTTTTTTTTTTTAAATTATTTTCCAGGAGACAAGATTTAATACCCTTGCACTTAAGCAATCCCCTTTCTTCCATCATAAGCAAATGTTTTGTTTTTATTAGAGCAAAATCATTCAGATTTCTATGTCTGTTCTGTGTATAACAAAACAGGAGAAAAACGTGACCTACTTCCATTCCCACTCAGTGCTGCTGCTCTATGGGCTGTTTAAAAGTGAAGTAACTCTGGCGTCATTTGTCCTTCTAAAGGAAAGTTGATTTTTACTGACCAACTTTTGGTGTTAGTGTTTTAGTGCTATATAATCATGCTATGTCCAGCTCATTGTATTAGCTTCTCACAAGGAAAAAAGAAGAAAGGAAAAAAAAGAAAAAAACAACAGAGATTGATCCACATTTCTTCATAGGGGCCTGTAAATGATTTTTTTCTTTTTGCCAGGAAAGAAACATAAAGTCTATGGAGAGAGTTTGTATGGGAGACTTGAAAAACAGAAGCCCACAATGAAGGCCTTTTCATCAATCTTTGCAAATGCAGTATTGGAACAGAAAGGGTACATCAGAAAAATCTTATATGCTACTTGCTGTTAACAGACAATATTTCACTGCAGAATATCCAAACATTCCTATATTCCAAAAAGCCAGTGAAAGCTTGAATAGATAAGCCTGGATCTTATACGCACATCTAGTGTTCCTTGCCAGCCCGGTTAGCTGGTTGCATGGCTCTTTTCAAGCACATACAGGTGCTTGGGGGAGGCGGGGGAAAGGTGGGCACTGCTGCTTTCAAAAACGTTTATCACAGTATTACTGTCACTTCATATTTACTGCCTTTAACATAAAAGGAAAGTATAAAATTCATCGGTTATCTTTTCGAGCACATTTTTGTCTATTCTACTATGAAAAGGTGAATTATGTAGAATATCCCTCCCCCTTTTAAGTTATTTGGCTTATGACTGGATTTCTGTACCTTTAGTTTGAGTCTGGCCCAAACTCTCGGACAAGAGCTGGCTTCAGCTGCAGTTATAGGTGATCAGTGCCTGAAAATCAGGCCACGAGTTGAAAGTTAATGACTGTTCAGTGCTTGCAGCTGTTGGTCATAGTGTTAGCTTTATGAAGGGGTTGCATGCAAGTGTGGAGCAGACTTCTGTCTCTTGCTTTGTGTTTCTAATTTCCAATTTGGCTGTATTTACTGAAAAATTAGTTGGATATGCTAACCGAAGACCGCAGAGGTCCGAAATACACCAGTCAGTTTCAGCTAGTGTTGGGCTGGGTTATGACTACGTGATAAAATGAGCAAATACAGTCCCTTTCTGCTAGGTAAGAGGACAATAGCTTTAGCTAAAAGGAATACTGTGAAGGAGGAAGAACATTTTTTCACCCTTGTACACATAATGATAATCATATATAGATAGATCTTGGGCATTTTGAGAGACTGACACTTGTACCTAAGATTTGCAGAACCCAGCACTGCCGAATAGAAGTTGTGTATTATACAAGAGAGGGTGGAGGTGTACAGTTCTGCTTCATTTTGCTCTGGTTTTGTTTCTACCGGTCTCATCTAAGTTAGTCAGAAGAGAATGGGACTGATTCCATAAAACCGTAGTAAAACTTACGTTTTTTCTTACGTTTGTTTTAATACGGTCTTCCCTGTAGGTTCAAACCAGTTTATGTAAAAAAGAAATACAGTTTTTAAGGAACAGTAGAAATAGCTGATGGTTGCATCTACTTCTTCTGGGGAAGAAAACCCTTTAATGTTTACTGTCTATGCCTTTTGTATTATATTTACTTTTATACTTGTTTCAGTGCCAGAAGTAATATGCTTTAAACTACTCCTAAGCAGGAAGAGTCAGTGTTGCTGCTTTCTAGGTAATGCTGAAGACATGACTGCTTCTCGTGTTAGACTGCTGGGATGATTCGGTGACTCAGACCAGGTTTAACCCTGACTGACATGATGCCTGTCACCGATCATATCCTACTCTCTGGGTTGAATGACGCTGATGTGACTGGAATGATGCTACTGATGCTAAATAGAAAGTCAGAGTTGTTTCTTTCTCATTAGCATCAAAGGTGAGATCAAAGTATATCACAGGAGGTAAGGATTCTTCTTCTGGTTAGGATCTGGTCTCTTTAATTAAAACCAAACCGAAGTCCTCTTTATTGTGTCTGGAAGAAAATAGTTGCTGCCTCTTTGTGGCTGGATTTTGGAAAGACCCAAACATACTTGCCTGTCAGATTACTCAAGTTTATTAAACATCTGTTTTGTGTCTTATGTAAACTTTATTTCCCTTTGAATGTGTTCAAGCTTTGTGAAAT